AAATGCAATTTTAAATACCAACACGCCTATTCCGCTAGTAATTTTGTAACTTGGTTTTCTCCACTTTGGAAGCAGCTAGAACAAAAATTTTTTCACTGTTAAATAGGGCATTGTTTACACTATATATGCCGCTATTCAAAACAGAAAATTTCGTACCTACGATTTTTTCAGAAAATGCCGCCTAAATGCCCACTGTGCGAGCTAGTTAAAATATTTTGACTGGTGGAGTCAGTCATTAAAGGTATGCAAAAGATGGGTGTTATATATCCAGTACAGTGTGTCATAATCATAGAACTTCCTTCTTCTGGATTTTTCGGTAAAACCTGGAACAAATCTGAATACTGTTTCGAATAGTCAGTAGATTTTCTATCAGATGAGGTGCATATCACCATTTTATGAGAAAACGTGATAATAGAGTTTCTGGAAAACCTGAAGTCTAGAAAACCAAGTCTTTGGTTTTTGGTCAGAAAATTTTGCAAAGCGTACAGCCTGATAGAACAAATTCTGAACAAAATAAAATATCTCCCGATTGTTCATAATGCTTTCTCACCGGAATATTTCAGTAATTTTAACAACGAGATCTTTTTGTCGTACAATGTATCTCGTTGCGTTGATTCCCCATATTTAAATTTCAAGAATTTCGTTTCTCTAGAAAAAAATCAAATTTTCATATGCTTTATCTGCAATACACAACGATGTGAAGGTGAGAAGTGATGCCCATTAAGATTGAAAAGGTTCGTTTCTGCGGACAGTGAACTTTGTTTGGCTTGTTTATAGTTTTTTTTCCGTGTTTCAGACGGCCATTAAGGGCTTTCAAGAAACTTGCGGGAAACCACTAAAAACGTCGCTTTGTAAGCGAAAAAATTAGTGCAGTGGAAAGAAGTGACCTTGGGATACGATACCATGTGCTTTTATAAAATCCCAGTTTTGTGTGATTGAGCTGAAGCTTTTGCTGGTACGCACAATTATGTTTCTCATAGGTGTTTTCTTCGCAATTTGCTCATCTTTCTTCCACTGGGAATTGTAGAAAAACGACAAAAACTCATCTGAAAAAGCAGTTTTAACTTCAAGAACCATCAAAGTCCGAAGTAACTAACTATCAACAAAAACGTGAAAAACATCACTGTAGTAAAACATCGGTTCAAATGTTGAGGATTGTTTTGTACCAGGTGAAACACTAACATTTTGTTTTGTAGAACGCAAGACAAAAACAGCTTTTTCTATAGGTTTTGTAGTATATTTATAACTCTGTATATAAACATTCTACAATCTTCGAACTTGTTGATCTATAAGAGTGAATCTTATGAAAGAAAAATTAGATTTTTGATCCAGACGAGAGAGTTGCTACTTTGAATAACTTAAGCCGTCTAATACTAACTTGCCTTATAATAAAACAAATAACACTAGTGACACACAGTATCTCTACTATGAAATAGAAAAACTCCAACAACTTTACCAGATTCAAATGAAAACGAAGACGTCAACAAGTTAAAGAAAGCGATTTTTTGCATTCGTCTTCTATATGAACTTTATCAATGCTCGCTTCTTTTTATTATTAGACATTATTAGCAAATACAATAACATAATTGATAAGTAATGTGATGCTCGTCTACAAATATTATATTATGAAAATACAAGTATATTCATGTATAAGTTTTGTATTTTTCGTCGGTTCGATTATGTCATATAATAAATATAAATCAGTGGTGTTTCTAACGTTACAATCATCATCAAATCTATCAACATTATTTATGTTTTTACCTGTACACATTTCTGTATCGAATTCATCTAATCTATCAAATAAACAATTGAATCAAATTTATTTTCAAACGCTTTATCCTAAAGATAAGACGAAGACAACGTGGAACCACAACGGTGGAATGAGACGACAACAAGCCATTGGTTTATGCATTAATTTTAATTATGATCCAGATTCAAATGGCATAACATTAACATCTATATTGAAATATTATTTATTAATTCATGAATATTTAGTGATTATTACACCATCACCATTTCAAAACTTATCACAACAAAATCAACAAATATTAAATCAATCAAATGTAAGTCAAACAACAATTGCAAAAGAAGAATCAAATGGTCATCTACTATTAAAAAAAACTGAAACAACACCAGCCATTGGTAATCCCCGATTATTCCATATTGAATGTACTGGTGTTACAAAGGGATATTATCAACATAAATGTATATCTCTGTGTGCACAATTTTATCAACAACTACCATCCAGTCGACTAAGAGGTATTCTATATTTACCTGATGATGTATTTTTTAATTATTCATATGTATTTCGTCATCCATCCTATTATTCGTTAGATGAATTTTGGATCCCTTACTCGCACAGTATTTTAGATTGTATTTTGAATCAAAAAGAGGCATGGTGGTGGTGGACGCACGATAATTATTGGGAACGATACTGTGAGTTTTTTACTAAAAATCTAACCGATTCATATCGACATATATTTGAAATATTGTACGGAAAGAATAAATTATTAGCTATTGTACCGTCAGATATTGTTTATATACCATTTGCTGATAAACAATTACAAACATTTATTAATGTAACACAACACATAATGACATTATTTTCAAATATATTTTGTGAAATAGCTCTTTCAATTATTGTTGAATTAACAATGGCTCTATGTAAACATTGGCCATATCAAAATGATCGATATCTATTTAATTCAACTGTTAATTTATTAAATAATCGAATACGATTAGAACAACTGGATGTTATACATCTAAATAATCCATATAACCGTAGCCAATATCAATATAGGCCATCATTATTAAGTTACGAAGGTTATATTTGGCCACCAAATAGAGATAATGAACTCAATTATAGAACAGCCATTTATACAGGAATATCTCCAGATACAGTTGAAAAGCAACTGTCAAATCCTGTTGAATTTTTGCATCCATTAAAATTATCGAAATTAGATAGCTGGTCATACAGATTGTGGACGGAAGCTATGGATGTACAATTAAAAAAACTTCAAAATTATATTGAGGACTTTGATCGAACAATGGATCTAAACTATTAACCACTTCTTCTTATGAAATTTATAGGTCTCGATTATAGCTAACTCTTCGTAATTTCGAGCGACTTTGAATGAGCTCCAGATTTTTCTTGTACTCTAGATGGAAATAAAGCGTAGAATATTATAAAAAAGAATTGTACGATAGAGTTCAAAATCGTGTTATTTACGTCGGCAAATATCGGCCAGAAGAAAAACGAATCGAAGTCCTTCGTTCTAGAGTATGACTAAATGTTTTCACCATCTTGTCGAGGACACTTACCACATCTTTTTACATATGGAGGGATCTCAAAAACCGGGCTTTCCGGTGGCGTTTATTCACAAGGTGAAGTTGAACTTGACAGGTGAAAAAAGAAGAGATGATCAGATATCGAAACAAAATGAAATTTTGACTTGAATTACATGGTTAGATAGCCGAAAGTGTCATCTGGAAAACTACGCAAACCCGAGTTCACTACGTATCGTGGTTCGGGTACAGTAGCAGTTTTGCACAACCATACCTATCTGAGTCCAGTAAGCTCTGATAAACTTAAAGATACCTCAAATGTAAGTTATCGATCACGCCGAGTCTTGTAGAAAAGTTCGTTCTCAGAATCAAATCCAAGTACCCAGTGAAAATCTATCGTAGCTAAAACAGCATATTTTCTGTTATTTTCACTGACCAATAAAAAATTCATAACTAAGTCAAAGTTGATCAAAAAGTCCTCTATAATCAATATATACTCACAGGTAATTCGATGTGCTCTACAAACACGATATATCACAATGTCTTGATTCGAACTGGACGCCTGGAGACTCGAATTCGTAAGGCCGACTTTCGATAAGGCTAACTGCCGAAACGAGTAGAAAGTTCGGACTCAGCATTAAGAAGTACTCATAAAAAACCGCGTTTTATAGAGAAAAAAACACCTGAACACGTTCCTCGTTAGCTCATTTCTTTTAGACTGTTTTCCGCTGTTTCTTAGATAGTTTTCCTCTGCTTTCTACAGTTCATTGTCAAGTCAGAATATTTTCCTTAAATAGTTCACATACAGTAAGGAGTATTTCCTAAAAATTATAAATCGATATATTATTTTGAGACTGAGCTATGAGTTTCATTGGAGAATACCCTAATAAATAGCAATAATGTGTCGATTGTAAGCAGCTAGTTTTATGAAAAACAAGTGTCAGGATGTGAAATTTGTACTGTGGATAGCTGGTAACTGAACATTTTATAACTGAACTATATGAACATGTCAAAATTTTCCCGAACATTAGCATCTAATGTACATTTAGGGATGGTTCTCTATCCATCACCTATCCATGACATTACTCATGACTATAGCTATTATAAATAAAGTGATTGCTAGCGCGTGTTCGCCAATTTACCTATGCCAATAAGAAACAAGCTAAGAAAGCATGTTCGGACAACAAATACAATTAGTCGGATGAGAACTGTTGTATTCGCAGAGAAAGGACGAAAGAAACACATAGGAGACTTGTAATAAGATGCACGTAAAGCAAACTTCGAGTGACTTTTTTTCGACTTTGAGATACATATTCTAGTTCAGCGCATCGAGCTGATCCTGAATATTACCTTCCCTGCTTCAGAAAACATTTTCTCCCTGAGAAAACTTAAAAGTACTCAGGTGTCAAAAAAGGTCAAAAATCTTGGTTTTTCGAAAAAACGTCACCGGTTCGTCAGGTTTTCTCCTAGAGACTCGAGCTTGGTCTCATTCGATTCCTCATTAAAAGCTGATCTTAGGCAAGTCACTTTCAAGTTTTCAAACCCCAAACTGAAAGTTTAGTCAGGTATTCAATTTTCAAGGTCAAAATTCTAGACCCTATGTTCAAAAACTTCCCTAACTTTTTGGGTTAAGAGCTATACACTTCGTTTATACATCAAAAGATGCCCCTGGAAACAAGCTTTAAAATGACGTAGAGATTTCGAGAAAGTCGGAATTCTGTCGGTAATTCTCCATTATCTCGATCAAAACTGAACTATTCAGCAATACAAATATCATATTCAGAATCAGAATCAAAAATTCAGGCGACTGATGTGTATTTCTCTTCTATCCGACTACTTCAGGTTTTTTCGATTTTCACGTTGAAAAATTACCACCCAAAATTGAAAATTAACAAGATTTTCACCCCTGAGATCAAAGTTGAGTTTCAAGAAAATACAGATCAGTTGACTCAATTTTTGATCCTGATTCTGAATATGATATTTGTTTTGCTCAATAATTCAGTTTTAATCAAGATAATGGAGAATTACCGACAGAATTCCGACGTTTTCGTCTCTGATTTAGAAAAAATGAAGTTTCTCAGTAATGAAACAAAATTTAAAAAAGCTCTATGTCATTTTAAAGCTTGTTTCAAGGTGCATCTTTTGTTGTATAAACGAAGGGTATAGCTTACCTTGTTTACGTCAGTTGAAACGGAGTATATTCCAACTTGAACTAATGAGTCAAACATGGAATTGTATGATATCTAAGAAAACGTTTTAAAATTGTAATTAATAACTGGAAAGGGAACAGATAAGAGAATCAAAAGACATTGTTTTTAACAATCCCAATGATAAAGTAACTTGCTCTCATCATACAGCTAGGTGACCTTATCGAAACATCGGTTTTCCTCCTTTCTCTTTCACCAGGCTGTAGTAGTCAATATCGCCTTCTATTGACAAATCGTAAAAACATCAGCCTGTCTTCTCTAAACAGAACGTCAATAAGCGAGATGAAGCTTAATTGTATGATAAAACGAGAATAAAACAAATATTGTACAAAAAAGTCATTTCGAACACAAGAAGGGGAAGTTAGTTCATCCATCTGGGTTATAAAGAGAAAAATGCAGAAGAACAAAATCTTTGTTTTTATGAATATTTGTCTTCAAATGAATATCAGTTCATTTGCTATTTTGCATCTTTAGATAGTACTGGGCGTTTCTTCAATTGTAGATTGACTGCCCGTCGGTTGATGACCAATATTTTCCCTGTCGGCTTTTTTGTGAGGATCATTTGCAGGTGTCTCGTGATGTGCTATCTTAGCTTCAGCAATATCGGCAGCCAGGATGGTTTTGTACTCTAAATGAAGAAGAAAGATTCAGATATGCTGCATCTAATCGTACGGTGGTGGAATGTAGAAAAAGGAGAGACAATATAGGAGTGATTCATGTTAGTATATAAAACACAAAAAGGAGATCAGATAAAACAAACACTGTTTTCAGAACGAGATCTTCTAAGCTACTGGTGGAGGATTAAAACAAGGACCGTATTCATTAGACACTAGACAGAAATGGTTTGATTCTCTTCTTACAGGTTCGATTCAGAAGTAGATGGCAAAAAAGATCGTCGCGGTGATATGACAATAGTTGTGGGGGAAAAATGTACAAAAACAGTTATTTTGCCTTACACTTATCTCAAAATGTTATTCTTTTCGAGATATGCTAGGTACAAGTAGCTTAGAATTGTGATCGTACCTGCTGCTTCCTTTGCTTTTTCGTCTTTCTGGATCTCCTTAGCCAGCGCAGCTGCTTCGCCTGGATATAGAGGTGGAGTTTCTTTGATTGTAGTCTGAGTACCAGTTGGTTGATGACCAATATTTTCTCTGTCAGCTTTTTTGTGAGGATCATTTGCAGGTGTCTCGTGATGTGCTATCTTAGCTTCAGCAATATCGGCAGCCAGGATGGTTTTATCAACTAAAATAAAGTAATTCTGTTAATTATTTTTAGAACAGCATTAGTCAGGCATGTACTAGCTCGCGGTTACTTAGAAGGAAAGCGCTGGAGCGGTGGATGGAGGAAGATGAATATTAACCTTAATAAAGACCTTGAAAAATCAATAATACCGACACTTTCTTGGTAACGTTGGGCCAGTGTAATATATCAAGAAATGATGTTAGCACAGGATTCACAATTCTTCTAAGACCTAGTCAAGTCTATTTGGCACGATCTGGGGCACCGAAAATCAAAGCATGCTTTACTTCACAAAAGAAAACAAATCTACTGATCCCGCTCGACTCAAGGAGTAAGCTCGAGTCGCTTCGGTATCTTTCAGCCATATACAAAGTTACAGTGGAAATGCAGGCGTTTGGCAGCGAAGCACTGCATCTCTTTCTACTTTCGACGGGCGAAAGAACGGAAGTCACACGCTCATAGCATATAACCATAACCTGAATTTGTGCTTCCAGGGCCGAGTAGCTGGTCAAGCCGGTTTACCACAATACACTGTCACAATACACCACGAAGGAAAGATCACAGAGTCTGCTACATTCTGAGGAAGACACGACTCATCGGTCTTGAGTTGTCTCTACTTTACCATGCACTACGTGTTAGAGATGTACAAATTCAGAAATCTTGATGATGTTGTAAGACGATTGACGAGTGTTGGACAACCAGTCCTTCGTCTATTATTCTGTTTCGTCGTCACTCTAGCAACTGTCCCTCTCAATCAACTTTTTTTTGTGAAACATCATTATCAAAGTAAATGAGCAGCTGAACTTTACGTACTGCATCTCTCTCTTCCTTTTTCGAACATAGTTCCGCTCAAGCATGAGTCATGACATGTCTAACTCGAACGACGTGATGGTAAAAGTTGACTCGTTCATGAGCCTATGGAAAAATAAAATCATCCGAAAAGTCTTCCGACTTGTACATGTGTCGATCAGAAATGGATGAAATTGTCTCTGAAAATATTTTCATCAGCGCTCTGAAAACGAGCCTGGAATGCAAGATTTGGAACTGCAGAAGATAATCCTTCATCGTAAAATGCATTAGCACGTTTCGCACGTGTTTAGGAATCAGTAACAAATTTCGATCGTCTCGTCTCACGCTCCTTGAGCATATCATATGTTCGTTAGAAACTTCGATAATGCTGATCTATATCTTAACAGCTCTAATAATTAACATCACTTATACAGTTGTATAGATAGTTCAGCACCACATATGAACTGAAATCGAGACTGACTAGTGAAAGGTACTGATGATTACAAAGTTTTATTTAAACTGATCACTTACATTCATGTCCTGATTTATTCATTTTTCTGTTTCGTTGATATATTCGTATGTATCGCGTTAACTAATAACGAACAATGAGAAATATCTTGATATGACTTTATAGTAGTGGTAGAAAATATTGCTTTTTCTATGTTCTCTTTTCTCCTTCTTCCTTTTTTTCTCCAAATGGTATCCTAATTTCTTCGCTTAGTAAAGTAAAGAGAATCAAAATTCTTATCTAAAACTATTCACAGCTAGATATGTTCCAGATACATACATACTAAAACAAATAATGATTGATAAATGTCATTTTTCTTTTTTTATGTGTAATGTGATTCGGAGTCAGTTAGAAACAAAATACGATACCGGAATAAAAATAACAGAAAGAAATAGATCACAATAACAGAATGATAGCCAACATACAGTTGAATCGCTACTCTCGATTCTGACGTAGATTAATTACCCTATCATGTTTACACTATCTCTATAATATTTTCGTCTAGAAGAGTTTGATTGTCAAGAAAAGTTTATCTGTCAAAAAGTAGTCATGTTAATTTTTTCGTATCCTTTTTTGAGTTGCACAAGAATATTCTGGAAACAAAGAATGAGAAAACGATAGTGCTGATCAAGTACACAGATAAATCTCCCGCGTTTACAGTGGCCACATCCGAACTGCATCGCACTCTCAGACTATAGAGAACTTGATGTGCTGGTTCCGAAAATCACGTTCAGAATTTTCAATATGAAAAAGAGCTTTCTATCAAATCACACCAACTTTGAACGCATGCAGAGGCACAGTTGTAATCGAATCGGCAAATCACTACCGGGTCGGCCGATTGACCGCTAACCGCTCCGACCTGATCAAATTTTTCAAGCAGCCGATCTTGGCCAGTTTCTTACTGATTTATTTTTTGAAAAAGATTTTTTTTTGGGATATTTTTTTGTCCAGAAAAGTGTGAAAAACATAGAAAAGATGTAATATTCGTATCTACATAATTGTGCCCGCCCATCTGATTAAAAAACTCGGATCTTCTATTAAAGCACTGTATGTTATAACTCTGACCGGTATAATATGACCTAGGTAAAAGAGAAATTGGTTCTTGTTTTGTTTTAAAATCAGGTAATAGTCCTTCTAATCGTTTTTTTACTGGTCATTGTAGAATGCACAGAGAAGTGACTAGATGAGTAAAAGTTGCACAAAAAATGTTTCTCTGGTTGGAACTAAGTCTTTACTCTTTAGGTGTTCGGTTTCAAAAGGCAACACACATCGAGATTTGGTGAAGACAGATGTTTCTTCTTTTTTATTTCGATAATTTTCAGAAAGTCTTATCAGCAGAAGTACTTACCGTATTTTAGCTTTCTCTTCACAAACCGCAAATACCTGGAATTTCGCCAATCTGATGCTTATTTCTGATTGGCCGATAAACGACCGATCTGACTCCAACTTTTAATCGGCTTTTATCGGTTTTAATCGATTTTTTATATCGGTTACAACTCTGTGCCGAGGAGGAATGATCTATTACGCAGACTTCTTCCATACACACTTTTTATCTATATGATGGGCACTACAAGTGCTGAAACCACAACTTGTGATGGATATTTATTCCTGAAAAAACTGACTTTCATTTTACCAAAAAAAGTGTATTAGGGGTCGTTACGTACCTGGGTATTTCCACGCAGGTCCACCCACGTTTTACACGACTTCAAGTCGACAAAATTCCACTGTGCTCAGATTGCAGCGCGCGTTGAGTTAGAAAGGCCTACATCTTGAGTTTTTGAAAAAATTGCGTCGAAAGTGGCCAGAACAGGCTCACAAAAGTCAGGTTTGCCCAGAATTCCCACTAGGGATCACTCACCTCTAGCAACTAGTTTTTCGGAAAAAATCAACACTGGGGTTACCTTTTATGCTGAATTCGATTCCGACACTGTTTATTAAGTTTAACCGTAAAAGAAATGCTAACTTTCGGTTATGAAAGCAGATTTTGAGACAATATTTCCGTTTATAAGGATGACATAATAACTCTAGTTTCAAACCTAACTATTGTAGTGATGTGTATTACAAATCAATAAAACACATTTTAATCGAAGAAAAACCACAGTCAGAAACAATAAAACAAAAGTCACCGACTATACCTGACATGACGAAATAACACAATGATGATCGTGATGGTTGGTAACATTGTACATATACTAAACTTTGAGATTTATCAATACTAACAACATTTGCTATCCATCATTTATCATCTCTTCGATCAACTAGACAAACTTCCTTTTTATTATCATATAAAGAGTCAACTAGTGTTATTGTACTATATTTTTTTACTAAGCAATTTGAATACTGCTGGTGCATTCGAAGCTGATGTTAATCGACATGATATTTCTCCTCGTAATAAGCAAAAAAAATGAAACTTTCCAATTCTAGTAATAACAACACTTATTGTGTCCCATCTTTTCATCAATAGATCATGATATTTTCTTCCAACTGTTGACGATTCAAGAACAAATATCTGAATAGACATGCACATAACTACCTCAAGACTAATACAAAGAAAAACTCGTAGTAAGAATTACTTCATAACATCGCTGATTTGTTTTTGTTGATAATTGTATTTGAAAATCTTCGTTGACAAAATTCGTAAAATTCTTTTGGTTTTTAAAACGATGTTTCTGGATTGCATGGCAATAAAAATCTAGTGGATGTTGATTGAATCACGGCTCGCATTCCATCACGCTCAGATTTACTCCAACCCGCTTTAATTCTGAAATCGTGTTTATAAAACGTATGATTTAACATTGAACTATTATTTTTAAAGTGAGAGGTGCAGTCTAAAGGAAGAAAAACATTGTGACAGTTTATTTGTTGCCATTTTCTCTACAATAAGTAATAACTGGGACATGGATCGTTAATCCGAACAAGAATAACGATATTTCTTTTAGAAGGTTAGTCTATAGGACCAAGTTCAATTGAAATGATTCATCAACCCTTTATCCCCGGCGGCTGGTCATGCAAAACCAGTTTATAACTCGTATACCTCGATTTAGGCTTGACAAAACAACTTTTCTCATTACCAGTCGCTAGATTATGGTGTCAGCTTACACTAGAAAAGCTGGCTTTTGATACAACACATCGTCATGTTATGATAGGATTAACATCGAACAAAATGGTTTGAAAAGATTTGTACAATTTCTGCATTTTTATGACTGTTAACAAGCTGTTTCTTCGCCGTTAACTAAAGATTAATACATGGCTAATTAATGGCCAGCATCAACGGATCGTTTATTGACCTACGAAAAACTCACACTCTCCTACGAAGAACTCAATAGTCTATCATGCACATTTCCCGAAACTTAAATTGAGTAAGCGGCCTTCAATCTTAAGATTGGTACTAAAAATAGTGAACTGAAACAATTAAATGAAAATCAATATTTCGAGGAAAAATCAACTACAACTTGGCGTTTTCAAATATACGGATCCTCATGGATACTCTGGTGTACGTGTGTGTGTCATAGTTATGTTACATGATGTACTTCACTGAAACAAACTACACAACGTTTTTAATATTGTGGTTTTCTGAAATAAAAGTGTATCAAACTTTATCTATGAAGAATGAGCAGTTTCACCGCACCTGTAGGCTTCCTGATTATCTTCGCTAAGGTTGCTCGACATTGAGTTTTCATTGATTTTATCTTCCATCTTTTCAATAAAATGTGTGTTTACTAAACGCGGCTTTACGCTTGCTAAAACCGATTTAGTATCAAGTTTATTGAGAGTAGTAATATATTGCGGTAACTCGACATATTTCAACCATATGTTTGATCCAGTTTTGAACATCTTTTCAGTTTATTCACGCAATGGCAAAACATTGATTAATCCACATTTTCCTACAACCCATCAATCGCTGCATCTCACCCATGCCATTCATGCAATATGATCAGAATCAGTATTAACATAGCACCATCTGGTGAAAATGATCAAATACAATGTAGATGTAGCCAATAATTGGAAGATAAGTTTCCTCTTTCGCTACATCAAACTTCAAGAAGGCGCAATTTTCACATAGTTGCAAAGCTGGCCTGAGAATAATAAATTACACTGCAAGATTACGGTCGAGGAGCGCAACGCGCGACCCGGACACTTCCGTTCAGATCTGATTATATGTCGTTACAAATAATTTCGTGAGAAAGCTTCTTCAAGCTGATTTTGCGATTTGAAAATAATATTTTGCGGTTAAAAAAATATTTTTTTAAAATACGACTTTCGGATTCCCTATCCAACCTACAAATCCAAGTTTTTAGCCTTTGAAAACGTTTCGTCGATGAAAAACGTATCAACACATTTTCTTCGAAAATCGAAGAATTCTGTATTTCGTGGTCTTTTAACTGTAGCGACATTATCATACGTGTGATTTTTTTAAATTACACATCATTCGAACGAGCACAAAAGCTCAACAAACTCTGACATAGTTTAGATTTTAAAGAAATTTTTCGTTACCGAAAATAATTAATAAAACACTATTAGAAAAAAAAAATTTAATTTTTTTCGGCAAAAAAATTATTATGAAAACTCTATTGGCCTAGACGACAACATCCCAGCCAAACAAACCATGGTACACTACTTTCGAAAGGGAAGTGGGTTCAGAGGCGCACCAAGAACCACACTACCCATCATCATCAACAAGGACCTCAAAGAGATCGCAGACAGAAAAGCAGAAATAACAGCTGCAAAAGATCTACCAGCTCAGCTAAAAACAATTGAAGATCTCCGAGCGCTTGAACTGGTCGCGCAACAACGAAACACTTGGAAGAAACTCATGACAGATATGCATGTTCTCGATTAGCAAGAAATAGCCAGTTGTATCGCTATTAGCTGACTGACTATAGAAAGCCGATAGAGAACGAACGCAATTATTATTATTGGCCTAGAGCAACTTTTAGCAGATCTTGTGGAGAATGAAATCTTCTACAAAATGCGCCATGGTACATTAGGATGCACCTTTCTGAACAGGAAGAAAAATGTTCAACAATGAGTACCATTAGAATTAG